TCTGTTGAGATGTAACATCTTGTTCACACTGGCTTATTCTTCTTGGAGAATAAGCACTAGAAATGTACAATCAATTGCTTGACCCTTGTGTTCCAAAATTGCCTTCTCTGCCTTTTTTTTTCCATTTACAGGCTTAACTTTCAAAATCTCTTTTCTCCCTGAGTTTTTCCCCTGAATATCTGAAGCAGCTACTGTTGCTGCTGTTCCTGTATGCATTTGATCAGGCTTCATTTACCTTTCCCACTGTGACCTTTAGTGTCTATGCACAACCTCTGGATATTTTCCAGGTTTATTTTGCTACAGGAGAAGTTAATGCTCACAGACTGCTTAGGTATTGCAATGTAATCTCTAAGTCTTAAAGTACTGCTGTGTCACTTGTACTGATTTTTAAATCTGAATTACTGTTCCTAAAAAGGTTGACAGGTTTAGTATATTTGGGAATTCAGTTTTCTTATTACTTGCTTATTTCCTGTGCTTGTTAGGGAATGCTGTGATCTTCTAGATCTACCTCATCTTTTTGATGTTTTTTTTTTTCCTATTAGTAGTAGTATTGTTTGGGGGTTTTAGAATACTTTTAGTAATTTTTTTTTATTCCTTGTATAGATAATGTCTGGGAAAAAGAAGAATCTGTAGTACCATTTATATCTAAATATGATGCAGATTTACTAAGTAATTTGTTTTACTTGTGGTGATTGCAGAAATCACATCCAAATTTGTAATCCTTGTAAAAAGACTTGCTGCCTAATTCCAAAGTGAGCTAGATTTTTCTTTCCATGTGTGCCTAGAAAGAAACATGACAGTACTTAGCAGAGCATTAACTCAGAATGTTTTTTGCTTTGTTTAGTGAACAATTCTTGTTCAACTTTGCTCCATTTGTTGCCTTTAACTTACAGGCAACGGGCTCTTGCAGCTAAAGGATGTGCATTTGGAGCTTGTTTCCTCTGCTTGAAATGAATACTCATTGCATCTGAGAGGGAATGCCCACGTGGTTGGCTCTTGACGAATGGTCAGAGTTCTCACCCCATGCTAGGGGCCACTTGTTGCAAGGACAATCATTGGGTGAAATAATTCAAGTAGTAGATTCTTACTGTTACAGTCAGAATGGTTCATCTATGTCAGCCCGGGCTGACTATGCATCATTTCCTTATCTGAAAGTACCTGGGAGACTAGTGATGAAAATTATTGCTGTAGGAAACCTGCATTTTCATTTTCCCAGACAAAAAAAAATGGCCCTGGTTCTCATTCTTTAGTGAATGAGTACTCTTGAGTTACTGAATGCAAAAGGGATTGATGGTTCCCCTCGTGTTTTGGAGAACAGATGGCTGTTGCTGCTCTTAGCCTTGGGGATAGATATGTATGTTGGTGTTAGGTATTCTTCCAGTGTTTTGTCATAGATTGTGCCCACTGGGAGAAACTCCTGGTATGTGCCATGCCAACAGGACTGACACACTCCTGATGCAGGCAGAACTTTGGTGCCTAATAAAGTTGACAACTAAGGTATTCCATTATTTAGGTAAGGTCCTAGTCTGAGTAGCAAGATGTCTTTGTGGAGTTGGCGTGTTCTGTTAAAATTATGAAGTACTGTAGTTCGAATTAGTTCTCAAACCTGTATAACTGGGTTTGTGGATGAGTTGGATAATGACAGCTCAGTTGTGGGTTTGGGTGATTGCTTCAAGCCGTGAATGAATTAAATCAGACATACTGTAGAGTTCATGTGTAACCAGTAGGATTTAAAATTCAGTCTGTCTGGGAGGCGTTCCCAGTCAGGAAGTTGAACGCTTCCAGTTTTGTAATCCTGGTCATACATAGTGTAAAGTGGAAAATCAAATCTTCTCATGCTGATGCCATGCAGAGGGCATGTCTGTATGTCTCGGTCACTTGTCCCATAAAGCCACCTAGAGTCATAGAATAGTTAGGGTTGGAAAGGACCTTAAGATCATCTAGTTCCAACCCCCCTGCCGTGGGCAGGGACAGCTTCCACTAAACGATACCACCCAAAGCTTCGTCCAACCTGGCATTGAACACCGCCAGGGATGGAGTATTCACAACCTCCCTGGGCAACCCATTCCAGTGCCTCACCACCCTAACAGCAAAGAATTTCCTTCTTATATCTAATCTAAACTTCCCCTGTTTAAATTTTAACTTGTTACCGCTTGTCCTGTTACTACAGTCCCTGATGAAGAGTCTCTCCCCAGCATCCCTGTAGGCCCCCTTCAGATACTGGAAGGCTGCTATGAGGTCTCCATGCAGCCTTCTCTCCTCCAGGCTGAACAGCCCCAACTTTCTCAGCCTGTCTTCATACAGGAGGTGCTCCAGTCCCCTGATCATCCTCGTGGCCCTCCTCTGGACTTGTTCCAACAGTTCCATGTCCTTTTTATGTTGAGGACACCAGAACTGCACACAATACTCCAGGTGAGGTCTCACGAAAGCAGAGTAGAGGGGCAGGATCACCTTCTTCAACCTGCTGGTCACGCTCCTTTTGATGCAGCCCAGGATACAGTTGGCTTTCTGGGCTGCGAGTGCACACTGAAGCAGGCTCATGTTAAGTTTCTCATCGACCAGCACTCCAGGTCCTTCTCCACAGGACTGCTCTGAATCTCTTCTCTGCCCAACCTGTAGCTGTGCCTGGGATTGCTCTGACCCAGGTGTAGGACCTTGCACTTGGCATGGTTAAACTTCATGAGGTTGGCATCAGCCCACCTCACAAGGGTGTCAGGGTCCCTCTGGATGGCATTCCTTCCCTCCAGCTTATCAACCGAATCACACAGGTTAGTGTCAGTGGCAAACTTGCTGAGGGCGCACTCAATCCCACTGTCCATGTCAGCGACAAAGATGTTGAACAAGACCGGTCCCAGCACCAATCCCTGAGGGACACCACTCGTTACTGGTCTCCAGCTGGACATTGAGCCGTTGACCACAACTCTTTGTGTGTGGCCATCCAGCCAGTTCTTTATCCACCGAGTGGTCCATCCATCAAATTGATGTCTCTCCAATTTAGAGACAAGGATGTCGTGTGGGACAGTGTCAAACGCTTTGCACAAGTCCAGGTAGATGACATCAACTGCTCTACCCCTGTCCATCAGTTCTGTAGCCCCATCATAGAAGGCCACCACATTGGTCAGGCAGGATTTCCCCTTAGTGAAGCCATGCTGGCTGTCACCAAGCACCTTGTTGTTTTTCATGTGCCTTAGCATGCCTTCCAGGAGAATCTGCTCCAAGATTTTACAGGCACAGAGGTGAGACTGACTGGTCTGTAATTCCCCTGGTCATCCATTTTCCCCTTCTTGAAAATGGGGGTTATATTTCCCTTTTTCCACCTCACCTGCCCGCTGTGCATCTACACAGGTGTCTGGGGCTTTGGGGGCTCTTCTGCTGTTTAGGCCATCTGATCTGCTGAGTGCTGGAGTTGCTAGGTACGAAGCAAGGTTTGCAATAGGATACTACTTGCAAATCATTTCAGTACTCAGAGAAGCTGCTGCTTCCCAGCTGTAAATGCAGTGAGGCTGGTGCCATGAGGTGAGCGCTGTAACTGAACACACCTGACACGGGTTGTTGCCTTCTGCAGCGACAGCTGAAGGGACGATGTGTTCTCAGGATTCCGTTGAACGGCACAAGATAAGCGGAGAGCTGCACATTTGGGAGGCGCCGTAGGTTTTAAACCCTTCTGCCTGGCCCGTGCAGAGCAAGCCGGGCTGCGGTGGGGTAGAGGCTGCACACGCGGCTCCTGCTCTGCCCCGCACGGTGCCCGCTGCTGGCGCGGTGTCTGTGCCACGCTCCGGGCCTGGAGGCGCTGCAGCGCGAGCAGAATGGTTCCCAGGCGCGTGGGGCTGCCCTGCCAGCGCTGTGCGTTCCGACGCCGCGGGCCCGCGTGAGGGCAGCAGTCGTGTCGGGGGTGGCGCGAGGCCGGCCTGGACTCGGGCGGGCTTCGCCGGGGCTTGCTCGGCGCGCGACTGCTCGCGCTTGGACCCGCCGCACGAGGCCCCGGATAACAAAGGGGCGCGTGGGCGGGTGCCGCCGTCATCTGCAGTGGAAAGGAGCGGGCTCGGCCGGACTCCCCCCTCTGCCCCTCGCTCGCCCCGTTTAAACGTAACATGGTGGCACTTCGCGGCGGAGCAGGGTCCGCTCGAGGCGGGCGGGAAGCGCCCAACAAGGGGAAAGCGGCTCCTCCTGAGGCGCCGAGTTCTTGGGGCGTTGTGGGAAGCGCCCGCGGGGCGTGAGGTAGCGCAGGGGCGGGGGTGCCAGCCCGGGCAACCCGGAGGGATCCGTGGCGGGGGAACGGCTCCTGCAGCGGTACAGGCTGGGGCCAAGCGGTGCGGAGGGGACCTGTGGGGCTGGTGGGCAGAAGGTTGAGCTTGAGCCGGTGGAGGATGCAGGAGGGTGGAGACTGGAGGAGGGGAGAAGTGCTGCCGGCAGGTCGAGGGAGGTGACTCTTCCCCACACCTCAGCCCTGGTGAAGCCACTGCTGGGAGTTACGGGGCTTCCCGGTGAAGGAGCCAGCCATCGTGGAGAGAATTGAGGCAAGGGCCGTGAAGATCGTGAAGGGACTGTTAACATCTCAAACGGGGAAAGGCTGAGAGAGCTGGGACTGTAGTCTGGTGAAGAGAAGGGTCAGGGGCAATTTGCTAATGTAATGGAGGGTGCATAGAGGATGAGGCCAGGGCCTCCTCAGTGCTACCGCTGACAGGATCAGAGGCATGGGCACAGCCTGAAACATAGGGCATTTTCCCTGAACATCATGAAACAGTTTTTACTATGAGGGAGACTGAGCACTGGCACAGAGAGGTTATGGATCTCCATCCTTGGGGATATTCAAAAACCATCTGGATAGAGTCCTTGGCAGCCTGCTGTGGGTGGCCCTGCTTGGGCAGAGGGCTTGGACAAGATGACCTCCAGAGGTTTGTCCCAACTATTCTCTGTTTCTGCCTGAAGTTTCTTGTAACTGCTTGTTAAGTACGTATTTTACCAAGAACAGTAGGTTCAGCTAGGGGAGAGGGAAGGTGGTGTTAGCATGAGTTAATGTTTTTCATAACAGGAGAAGTTGGGGGATTGATCACAACAGTTACAACTACAGCAAAAATCACTGTGAAATCAATAGTAATTATCATGAAGGTTTGATTTTGGGGAAAAAAAGTTTTGCCAGACTTGGAGCCAGAAAGCTCCCATTAAGAATTTGTCTCTGAAAAAAAAGATGTCTGCGGTTGTGTCATTCAAAACTCACAGCTGCTGATAGGAATAAAAAGGTAATACATCTGAGCTAAAGAAAAAAGTCTAGTAAAGATTAGCTTATATTAGATAGATTGCATTTTTAATGATAGTATTTCCAAGATCTTACTTCATCATGCTTTTAGCTTGTTTTAAAAGTACTCAACATACATGACTTGCGGGTAAGGGATATTGCCAAAAGTAAATCAGATCAATTAAATACACTGAGAAGTTCCCTGGAACAGAATTTTAGTTTTCAATAGATAATGTCCTGAACACTTAAAGAACTCTAAATTTGTGAGTGCCTGGGAAAAAACAGCAAAAGTTACTGAAACCATAATTTGTTATCTTTCATAGGGAATGGTCTTGAATGTAAAAACTGAATTAATTTCACAGGTTAACTGTTCTGTTTGCCTTCTAAACAAAAATCTACTGGCTGAGCCAGTGTGCCTGTATTTGAGTGAAGACACTGGGTACTGATCCACTTTGATCTATGAACAGTGAGTGGATAATTACTAGTTGATAGGTGTGAAAGGAAGAAGCAACAGTTCCCAGCTGGTTGAGTGACATTTACTTCTCATTTTAAAAAGTGCAATGGAGACTAACACAATAATTTTGGTGAATTGCACTGTCCTTAGTTAATAGTGTATATTCTCAAAATCTGTGAATTTACATTGTGCTCTGTTTATAGGTGGGGAGGGAAAAGGGAGCTCAGCTCTAGACCACCTGTCTTGCAGCAGCCTTCATGAGGGAAGGATGATCCTTTAATCAGATCAGATTGCAATCCAGATTGTTTTGGGTGGGAATCATAACTTTTAATGCAACTTCACAATAAACTTTATTTCATTAGGCTTTTTTTTTTTTTTTCCCCACTATTTAGTTTTTATTACGTCCTGATAGAGCTGGTGTTCCAGAAACTTCTCAGTGCACAGGACTGCCTTATGCCTGTGCTCCTGTGAAGGAAGTGGTAAGGCAGGTATCTTTTAGATTGCTTTGATAGACATTTTCTCTGGCAGCAGTGAAGTTGTCTCTGGTCAGCTCGCAGCTGCTTTTGAGCATTTCCTTAGTTGGTGCCAGTCTAACTGTGTAGGTGGCTGAGCAGTTCACTGGGCAGATTAAGCTGAAACACGCCCAGTGTTCCCCCTTGCCACAGGAAAATGAGGCAAGTTCACTGCATAGCCATAGCCATGGCTGTGCTTGTGGGCAGGAATGTGGGTTGATGACAAGTCTGCATGAATGAGTTTTAGTGGCAGTGCTGGATATCTGACCAGGGCTCGAGGCCTGGAGAGCCCTGGGAGTTCATTGTGTGCTTGAAGAGATTTGCTCAAATGAGCAGGACAACAGAATTGCTTATCAGTAGGCCTGTTCTTTGTACTCAGAGATTCATGCAACTGTTATCTGCTATAAAGTTATCTCAGTTGGATAGGGAAAGACTGAAAATGTACTGGTCAGTGTAAGGCTGTAGTACAGTGTAATACCATCTTCCCCAGTTTTTTTTTTCTGTAGATCTCTTTGATTTCATGTGATTCTAGATATGTATGGGATTCTACAGACTATCTAGGGTTTTTAAACTTGGGTTTATAGCCTTAGTAAGTTTGTGTGAGAAACAAATGAACTAATGTACCAAGAAAATATGTGTGTACTAATAACATGCAAATAGTTCAGGTTTTCTGTATGCTTTATACTACTCTGTCCTGATCTTGGAGATCAGTTCATGCTGTAGTGTCATAGAGGACCCAGAGGACACATCACACATTATTGCAAAATGTTTTATTGGGCTTCCAGTATTTCACAAGTCTGAACTGGGTTTTTGTGCCATCACTGTCAAGCCATAGTCTGTATTATTTACAATGGCTGGTCTTGGTATACTTCTAAAAATGTGGATTTTTTTTTTTTTTCCAGAGATCTGAATATGTAATCCAGATTAGCAGCACTTCCCTGGTGTTTTGTCTAAAAATTCAAAGGCGTTTTTTTATCTATGTGCGCATTGCATATGATCCTAACTGCCTGGCCCCAGCTTCCATCAGCTATGGTTCCCTTGAAACTGGCTCTGACAGATGCTATAGATTTTGGTTGACATTGTTCCTGATTATTTTTGTAACTAAGCTGCAGACCCAACAGATTAAGTTATACGGGGAGGGGGGGAATCTCTAAAACCTCCTTAGCTTCATATTTGTAAGGGAGTCCACGTTGTTTGTGTCAAGTTATTTAGGAGGTCACACAATGTTTTAGTGTTATGGGCTGGTTAGTGTGTGCATGTGAGTATACATGAACATAAACCACTTTGTTCTGTGACTCCTTGAGGCTGAGAAGCATTTAAATTGATTTTTTTTGTGTGTGTGCAAGTAAAAATATTTTGCAAGTGCCAGGGCAGATCATAGTTATACAGTGATTGATTTTTCTAAATATGAAAGAATAACAACAGTGGTTTTGTTCCATGAGAAACACTAATAGTGCTGACCGAGGGACAGAAAATTATTTGTAGAACATTACTATTCTACAAATTATTATTATTATTCTACAAATTATTATGTGGAAGCAAAGTGCTTTTGTTCTAAGAGAAACATACGTATGCCCACTGGATTTCTTTTACTTTTGCATTTCCATCAGTGACTAGCATGCTCAGTTTGTGGTACGGTTATATATATTGCAGTTAAAGCCCCTCTGTGAGAGTTTGAAGTGGGGCTCTTTCCCATGTGTTTGGTTTTCCATAGGTGAAGTGGGAATAATGACACCCATCTTTTGTGCTTTGAAACTGCTGAGAAACATTATTTAAGAATTGAGTATTATTATACAAATCATTCTAGTTTGATCTATCTCTGCTGGCCTTTTTCATCCATGAGTTAAGATGACCGTGACTAGGAGGCTGATGGGTCTCATTGTGTTCAGCTTATCAGTGTACCCACTGCTGGTTTTCACTGGAACATAAACCAGTGTAGTCTTTTTTTTGTCCCCAGATGATGAGAGCTATTAAGACTTGGTATTTATTTGGAATCTAATCATGTGTAAAACCTTTACAGTTACTGTATGATAAAGTGTGTAGAGAATTTGTTTGGTGTTATTTCTGCTTCAAGTTGAATACAGAAATCTGTTGAGTATGATTTAGAAGTCTGTTGAATATTTTTAGATGATCTGCTGCGTGACACCTACTTCCTCCTAGTTTTCTGTGCTGTTCTATAAAAAAAGCCTTGAAGAAATCGTTCCTGTTAATGCTGTTTTGTAACACTACCGTTCTTTCAGAACTCTGGAGATTGCCAGCTCTTCAGCAAACAGAGGTGCACTGGCCTTGACAGCCTTGACGGTCTGGTGTAAAACACAGCCAGTCACCTTAACAAGCAAGTGCCCCCTCTCAGAGCTTATTGTACTTGTGCTGCAGTTCCGTTTGCGGTGATGATGTTGTCCTGGGAAACTCCAGGCCTTTCTGTGGCAGCTGTGTCCCACAGACCTGGGCTGCCACTACACAAGGGCCACGGGCAAGATAGGATGCTCTTGGAAGTTGGGTTTCTCTGTTTAGAGTAGTGGCATTGGTGATACCAACTGCAAAATCTGTCTCTTCAGGTTGGGGTGCTGGTGTGATATAACTGAACCAAACATCATCTATGCTGTGAGGAGAGATGGGAGGGTGGTGCTTCCACCATTAAGTATTTGGAGCAGTTGAGGTCACATGAGTATCTATCTGGACTATGACCCTATTCTGGGGGGGGGGGGGGAACCCCAAACAAACAAACAAACAAACAGAAACCCATGAGGTAGTGAATATTTTATTCATAAGTGATAAAACTTTTTATTTACTGGTTTTTCAACTGCTGATGTATACACAGAATGGCCTCATTGTGAAAAGTTCGGTTGCTCTTTCCTTCTGTCCGTGCTGGAAGAGAGAGACCTCACTCACAAAAATAAACTGGTCCCTTTCCATCCTACCTGTGTTTAAAAGTCTATACAGTCACACGCTTGTATTTACCCATAAAGGAGTTAAAAAGGAAGATAAAGGGCAGGGAAGGTTGATCAGTTCTTAAGATCATTTTGACACTGCTGCTGCTAAATGTGGGATTTGTGTAGGGATTAGAAGATGAAAATGTTTCTTACCTACAGCAACTCTAATCAAAAACACTTCAAAGCATATGTCATATGTAAGCAACTGTCTTTTTTAAATGAAGTAATTCAAAGGACTCTACTAAAGCTGCCTTAATGATGGTTGTATACCTTTATCTGGGTAGCCTTGTGCATGAAAGCTCAGTGCAGCAGTAGCTCTGCATTAGGGTTTTTTCCCAGGACTGGTGCAGTAAATCTGGTGGTTGTGTGTGGCTTTGGCTGTGGGTATTGTATTTTTAAGCTACAGTTTTCAGAGAGTGAGTCTGTGTACGCACACATGCAAGGGAAGGTACATATGTACGTATGTGCAAAGAGATCACCAGGTACCTGCCACGTTTTGAGAAGGAAACGCACTGCATGCACAGCGACTGATGTGGGGTGGTGGGTAGATGCATATCTGACAACAGCAGTGCTAACTGTACTGTACACCAGCAGTGCTAGTTGTATGGTACAGTGAGTCTTGACTGTACACCAGCTGTGCTAGTTGTACAGTACAGTGAGTCTGACATGTTCCAGTCTTGCATTGTGAATCGTGATGTTACAGTGCCTCTTGCAGGCCAGCAGGGTGGCTGGAGGTGGCTCAGGTGTAGCCCTGTGGGAGCTGACATCTCGGGGTTTAACTGCACTTTCCATGTGACCTTATGTGGTTGGCACTAGCGAAAGTAATTTGTTTCCTCTGATCAGAAAAGGGGCAAGGAGAAAGCGTGAGAGCTGATCCCAGAGGAAAAGGTGCCACAAGTTTCAGCTGCTGCAGCAAAGAGATTTCTACAGCAGTACTGGGAAGTGACAGGCACATCACTGATAACAGCAGCCTGCAGTGGGAGGGGAAGTTACATTTTGATGGGAATATGCCAGCACAGTTTAGCACATCCTGGGCAAAATCCTGTGGCAAAAGTAAAACTGACAAGTGACTGGCCAGTTTAGAGAGCTATTTTGAGCTCAAAATGGGAACACAGTGTACATAAGTCAGGAATTATTGTTGTCTTGTGCACTCTAGCACTACCTCACAAGAGCCGTTTCATAACAGAGCAGGAAGGTATTGGGTGGGTTTGTGAATGTGTGGGGTCTGTAAGAGGGCTTTTTTCCTAGGTGATTTAGTTGACCCATAGATCACTCAATTTATTGAGTTGAGAAAAAACAAGCTGCTTCTGCGGATGTTCTCAGATACAGATCTGCCTTTTGGAAAATCAGCATCAAGTAGTAGTGTTACTCCAGATGCTGAAGGAATTTACACAGAACATTACAGCATTCTTGTCTGAAATTGTAAATATTTCTCGTACGTGTTCATTTTTGTAAGGGGCAGATGTGCCTGTGTACATCTGTTCAACCTCTGTGCTGTACCTACAGAAGATCCTTTAAGTTTTCTTTTTCTCTCAATTGTGTTGCTCTGTTTCATGTTATAGAGAAGCTACACTGTTGAATGTATGATTTTCCAGTTACTTCATGGCAGAACATAGGTGCACTAAAATAATAACCTGAACGACCATGGTTCAGGACCACATGAGAATAGTAAAGTGAGCAGTGGAGGGGAACAGCTTATATGAGAAAAGACCGGGGAACAGTGATGTGCAGCCCCACCAAGTCACCTTGGGACCATCTGAGCTCAGCTGGCTACGGGCCAGCTCCTGTGTCAGGGAGGTTTGGTGAGGGTTGGGTGTGCGCTGTTCTGATGAACCAATCAATGCCAGTGCCTTCAGTTTCCATCTGCTGGTGCTGGGGAGTCTCAGTGGCTCTTCAGGAGCCAATCCTTGTCTTTACAGCCCATGACCCCAGCCAGGTCCAAGCTGCCCCTGGATTACGAGGCAATGCCAACTCCTCCTTGTATCTGATTCTGCCTCCAGACCCATTCGCCATGTGTGTAACAGTTGGAGGAGTTGTTTGATCATTTCCCAGCTCTTTTGCTTTGGAACTGTCATAGAGACAGGAGCTGCTGCTGCCACCATACCCACAGATAAATGTATTCACTGCTTTGAGTGGCTTGTATGCACCAGTTTGAACACTCGTGGGCTAATGGTAGTACTGCATGACAGTTTGATTAAGACAATAAGTCTGAGTTATCAAGAAAACAAGATACGATTTGGCCTAGAGGAGAAGCAGCACCATTTTTGAGGCCCTTGGCATAGAGCTGCACTTCCTGAGGGCAGGATGAGCTAGATCCATAAGCAGTCCAGGATCATAAAGATGATAAACATCTTGGGATGATTACATGCTGGATTAGAGATCACGTGGCTGGCTTTATCTTGATGTCCAGCTGCCCACACTGGTACTTCAGGTAAGTAGTAAAGGTGTCATTTACACTGATAAGCTGCAATAGGCTTACTTCACTGGTGTCTCTGCCCATGGCAGGGAGTTGAAAGCAGATGATCTTTAAGGTCCTTTCCAGCCCAAACTGTTCTGTGGTTCTGTTTATAGAATAACACTTTGTACATGTGCTTATGTTATAAATAGGGTTTGTATGCCAACTTCTAGAAAAAAGTGCACTCATGTTAACTGTTAGTGCTGAGGTATGACAGGCGGTGTGCTCTTAGGCAAGAAGTTGTTTCTCGAAATAAAACACACATAATTTTAAAGGTAAAGTATTGCAGCTGTAGTTCTGTGAGGTGTTCCTGTGACATCTGCTGAAAGGTCTGGAGGCTTTTATGTGAAGGTGTGTTTGCAGTGGATGAGTCAAAAAAGCTAACCTGAGTCCAAACTGTTCAAATGATGTGAGAATTTGCCAAAGTGTTAGTCATCGATTACTAAGGAAGTAATTTAGAACTCTTTTTACTGCTCTCTTTAGGTAACATTTCAATAATCACATTGCCAGTTTCCAGCACCAACTCTCCAACGAAGATTTTGCCAAAAACCTTAGGACCGATCAATGTGAATGTTGGACCCCAAATGGTAAGTTCTAACTTGTGTAACAAGCCACATGCCTTCCTGCTAGTGTAAAATGGAAACATCAAAAGCAAAGATGTGAGTAGTGCTAAGAACATGCTGCTTCCTGCCTCAGCTGCAAAGGCTGCTCAGGTGCCCCACCTGGGTGGAGGGGTGATGATGTGTGGGTATTGCCACTGGCAGCAGCCATCCTGCATATGTGACCCTGGGGGGTACCTGTCCTCCTGGCTTTGAATGGACATGAATACACTTCACCAGCTGCTATTTTAACTCAGAAGTGTGGTAAGAAAAAAAAAAAAAAAGACCAAAAAATCCCATTAAGAATTTTATTGAAACTCTTCGACTATTGTGAGTCATGTTCTCACCAGTGGATCTCCAGCAGCACCAAGCAGTAAATGTCTTGAGTGTGACACTGGAGATACAACTTATTTAAGCTCCTCTTGTTAAAACTGTCTTTTCCTGTCAGTGATAACCGTGTGTGTGTGTTGCCAGTCTTGGCTTTGAGAAAAAAATCGGGTGTTCTGGTGGCCAGAGAACTAATTAGGTGATGTCAATACAGGGAACCCTTTTCTAGTAACCTGCTTGCCAGGCACTTATCCTGACTGCAGTTACCATTTGATGAGTTTTATAAACAGTTGTGTTGGGTGTTTTTCACATCACTCACTGTTCTTCAGTGTCCCCAGTTGAATAGAGGGGCACAGGCGTTGCAGGAGCCCCTGTACTGTGTTCTCCATGGTGCAGAGCTCTACAGCTGCAGTACTACCCACAGGGTGTCTGCCAGGGAGCAGTCCTCTTCAGTGCCTCAATACCTGGTACATGTCCTGTTGGAGCACATGCCCTGTGCCCTGTGGCATTTCACTGGTGTAGTTCTGCTACAGAAGCTGTATTTTGGGAGTTTGTATTTTTATAATATTTAATTTCTTATTATTTTACTCTGCTGCTTTGCAAGGACAGAACTCTATTCAGAAAAGATTTTTTTATTAAATAGCCATTTACGCAGGCCTTGTAAAACATCAGTGGAGAGCTGTGTGTGTTGTCTGCTAGACCATTAAAAGAGAATGTTTGCAAGTTCATAACAGAGGGAATGTCAGCACTCCTTTGCTCTTGCCTGCCTTAGCAATACCCTGCTGCTGCAAAGGGGTTCTAGTGTTATTTAGCCACTGCAGGCTTCAGCCCTTCGGGCACTCTAGGCTCTCCAGGCCAGCACACAGCCCCAGGGGCAGTGGAGGGGGCTGTTGGCCGCATGGTGACCATGAATCCCCTGGGGCATGGCTGGGCAAACAGTGGAATCAGCACAATCTGCAGGCTGGATTCTTCTGTATGAGAGTTTGTTATAGCTTCTTTAGATTTGGTCTGTGGGCATAAATACAAGGGCATGTTACTGATAAAATGTGTTTAATTACAGGAATTTAACACATCCTACAGGTGCTCTGTTTGCTAAATCAGGGTGAGGTCTTCTGTTTTGTTTTATACTATGCAGTGAATACCTGTGGCTGTAACAGGTAGCTCTGGGCTGGATTTTTTTTGTTGGGAAAGGGGTGACAGCCATGGGAGGGGACTGCTGCTGCCGGGGTCCCTCAACACTAGATGGCACCAAGGGACAGGGGACATAGTTGGTCCCATTGTGATTTGCTACCTCTGTTACAGTGGTCACCCGAAAATGAAGAGGCTGGATATAAAATACTCCTTTACAATACGTTTGATCTGTGATTTACAAGGCATCAGTAGAGCAATCTGAAACTTCAGAGAGGGTGGAATGTGATGAAATGCATTTCAATGTGCAAAATAGTTAACATCTCTGTGGCACGTGTCTGCAGTTTGCTGCAGAACCATACGCTCACTGTAAATAGACGTGCTTTTAGTGCTGCAAGAAACTGGTGTAAAAAGTTAATGGACTAGACCGATGTTTAATAGAAATGTTGCGTTACTGACTCTCACGTCCTTGTGTTACACCAGTGCTGAGCCTAAGCAAGCTTTCCCAAATTAATCATTCAGTCGAAAACTGTGTGTAAAGCAGCCAGCCTGGGATATTCTGCTCTCCACTATCAGCCACTAAATATCTAACTCGTACCTGTGTGGTGGTTTCCCTGAATTTCTGGTTTCACTTGTTTTTGTCAAGCTATTCACTTGCAAAAAATAAGTAAGGTCATTTTAAGTCTTTAAGACAAAAAATACATATATGTAATTACGATGTAGTGCTGAGACGGATGTGAAGTAATGCGCCATGAGCTAAGGAAATGCAAAATTCTTCAGATAACATTTTTTGTACTTGTTTAAACAATACTGATGGACACCAAAGTATCTGCTGTGTGCTTATATGGCTATTGAGTAAGTTAAGTAGTAAAGGAAACTACAGAGTTTAATACAGTCAGTACTCAAAATGTCACAAACGGAGCACAGTAAAGTTTTAAAAAGTGAAATAAGGCATATGAGTAAAAAGCATTGTCTAGGCAGCTTTGGTATGAATTTACCATACTGGAATAAAAATAATTTACCATGTATTTTCTTTTAAAGTTTAACAAATTAATACTGTTCTGGTTTTATGTACTGTCTGAATTCTTCTGGTGACCTACGTTAAAGAATGAATTAGATGAGATTTAAGAATTGTGGCCAAGTGTCTTAGTGTTAACAAACACTGTACAATTTCTCCAGGTTTGACTACATGTAAGTTCAGTCCATGCTGTATAGACTTTAAACGTCATTCCAGAGGTACAGTGTTGTGTTATTAGCTTGCTGGAATGCCTTGAGATCTCGTGAATGCTGGAAACTGCTGGGAATGCTTTGCCTGCAGCTCAGGTTGTCTCAGGTACAAAAGGCAAATAATTATAAGAGGCAAAGGAAAGGAAGTTTTATTGATTGCAGCGATCAAGAAGTTGCCTGGGAGTACTTTTGAGGAAACAGATGTGCATGGGCATAGATCTTATCTGCCAGAACTTGTTTAGTTCTTGTCTAGATGAGTAATACAGTAATATGGTGCAATTAGTAGAAATCTTAACAGCATTGTGATTACCTTCATGTATGAAGAGCTGCTTATGACATTTCTTCTGTATGTTTTGATTGCTGCTTGCATCTGGTACAGAAGTTGTTGGGGTTTTGTTGTTTTTTTTGGTGGTTTTCCCCTTAGCGAGGCTCTGGGGCTCTGGTAAACTCTGCTTTCTTAAGAGAGCTGTGTTTTTATTTCTAAATTTCACAGATCATAAGCACATCACAAAGACTAACAAATTCGGGGAGTGTTCTCATTGGGAGTCCATATAACCCAGCTCCAGCAATGGTTACACAGGCACACATAACAGAAGCTTCTGGCTGGGTCCCAGGGTAAGATTTTTGTTTTATTAAAAGGTGTTCTCATCTTTTCCTTTATGTTTTATTAAAAGGATCTGTTCTCATCTTTTCCTTTATTTATACTGTTGTGTCTATATGTGGCATCAAACCTTCTGGTTCCTGCACAACTATAAAGGAGTATGCTCTTCAGCCTGTTATGCACTTTTGATGTCTGGAGCACATGAGCATGGAAGTGCAAGCACTGGTCACTTCACAGTCTAATTTTTTTTCCATGGCAGCATATGAGAAAGAGTCGCAAATTCATGAGTCCAGTTAAAACAAGCCTTTTTTTTTTTTATTAATTCATGGTATATCCAAATAGCTTTGCTACTGAACATATTGGAGGGTGCCAACAGAGGGAGAGACACTCAGAAACATTTTCAAAGGTGTTTTAAGACCTAACTCTAATGGAAAATGTTGAATGTAATCAGTGTTGTACTTCTACTGCTATTTTACAATAGCAACAAGTTTTCATGGGGTTCTGAGATACTTCATAGTAACATGACTGTCTTTATCTCCTCTAAGGAAATCTGGTCTTTACAGTATTTCATGGTTTGGTTTTTCTTTCAATACCAGTACTGCTGAGCATTTCTGTCTCAAGACAGATGTAGTGCTTTGTCTCTGAAAATTAAACATTTATTTCTGCATTTTGGTTAACTTCTGTAATCAGTGATGAGTGTCAGTGGTACCTTTCCAGCCCCAGAGGTGGCAAAATGGAGTATCTAAGAAACAGCTGAAGGGGAGAGTACAGTACTTGTACCTTGACTTTCTTTATTCTGTGCTGTAAGCAAGGAGTGTCCTAGGCTTGTACTTCCCAGTCACTGTATCCTGAGCACCAAATCATTAAACTGCATGCCCAGCTGGGATGTCTTTAAGTTAGGATTTTTTTTTTTTCCCTGAGAATGTGTTTATTTCCATAAATCCCTTTTAAATCTCTTAGTTCTGATTTTATTTGGAAAAAGAGTTTTCAAAGATTACTTTGTTCCACCAAATTTTGGGACATGTGGAGGCCAGACAGAAGTTGGTTCAGTCCCCAGAGGAGGGGAAAAGCGGCAGTGTTTGTTCACAGCTGCTAAACCAAAGACTCAACACTCATTAGCTTTCTTAAGCTTCATCAAAACCTGGTGATGGAGATTACCAGAGGGAAGCCTATTGCAGTGTGTCAACCACCACCACCAAGGAAGAGCACCATCCTTTCATTCATATCCTGTAAAAATCCACAGTATTTCCAATGAGCCTAACTATTGTTTCACCCATAAAAAGGAGCAAGATGTTCTCTCCAGACTGGCTGATCAGTATTGATCCCTGCGGAAGTCCATACAACAGGTCATATTTTCATCTGAAAATCAGAGTTGAGGAAGGCTCTGTGGTACTGCCAAGCCTAAGAGGTGACCCCTTGCTGAAGACAGTTCCAGAGGACCACAAACCCAGGCTCCTTGCTTTACCCATTGTTTGCTCCTCTTCACAGATTCCAAGTTGTTTCCAAAATCAAATGAGACAAGAGCATGTTCACTCTCAGGGCTCCATACTACCTTCATCAGCCTGGCTTACAGTCCTGGGGCAGCTCTCCTTTCATTTACTGCCAGTCCAGGTCCCTGTTGTGCACAGGAACACAGCAGCCCCTGCGCCAACTGCAGTCAGCCCAAACCACATGGCCTGTGACGTTAAGCACCATGGACAGGGGTTGCCACAGACACAGATCCTGCAGTGCTGAGGAAGACGTCTATTGGTGGGTTCTGGGTTGTGCAACCAGACACATGAGGCTTTCATGGCATGGAGCTTCAAATCCACAATTTTTGTTCAGCTCCGTTTTTTAGCATTGCCAGGTTTTAGCTGCAAAAGTATCTGCTGTGAGCCCTGGTTTTGAAATGGTAAGGTAACAATGTGAAGTAATATACCGCGAGCTCTTCAGCACTGTGTGCACTGTATCACCTGCAAGAATAAAAGACAAGTTTGGAATATACCTTCTGCAGTCTGCTTGCTGTAGCTAATGAACAGAACTACTAAGGAAACTGGCAGTGACCAGTGACTGTTGCTCCTGTGCAGAACTCAACTACTTCCTCAGCGTATCGCTTTCAGCTCTGTATGCATCAGCTCTTATATGAACTGCTTAGTATTTTACCTTGTTTTTTGTTTAAAGGTACCAAAACATATAGTATCCTGGAAATACAGGATAGATTTGTGCAATGTTTAAATGCATTTTTCTCCCAGAGGGAGAAATTTTAAATAGGAATTTTCAAAGGAGCCCAGCTTCTCCTTGTTGAAGAGATTTGGTTATCTATCTGTCTAGCTCCCACCAGCGCTTCCTATGGTTTCTGATGCAACGAGTTCCCTAAAATTATACAGGCAAAGCATGGTAAAATTGGGATTAGAAGTTCTATGGCAGTGATCTTAGAAAAACTCCAAAGTCCTGACCACCTCCCCTCACTTTTTGTCAAGCTCTGTGTATGCTATTCTCCCCTTTTCAGTAACAAATAAGAGTAAACATTAGGGCCCAAATATGTTCATTTTATTGGTTGAAATGTATAATGTGATTTTAATCTTAATTTTGAATTGTCTTTGCCTAGGGACAGAAAGCGGACCCAAGAATTTATAGAGTCCGATTTTTCAGAAAGGTGAGTTTTCTCAAACATGTATTTGATGCATACAGTTGAGACTTTCTTTTGTTTCTTCAGATCTGCTCTGCAGAGATGGGAGTCATGTTCCCACTTCCAACTAAAAGCTGTGTGGTATGTTATTCCTTGTAGTTACAATTCATTACTCTTTGCTTTCTATTTTAAGCACAAACATGAGTTGCCTGTAAGTCTGGCTTCAAGCACTTAAACATCTTGTAAGGTTTTCCCCATTTTTTGGTTGTTCTTTTGTGAAACTACCTGGAGATGAATTACAAATGTAGTTTTCTAAGCATCAGCCCAGCAGCATGTGTTCAAGCACTATCCATGTAGCAATGGCTGAGAAAGGGGAAAGGATTCCAGTGCACTTTTTTTTTGCCAATATGAAAGAAACAAGAAGCTGATTCAAAAAAGCAGAACATCTTTATTTTTCGTTTAGGTAGTACATGATGTCATCAGTCCTGATTCCTGTTGGAAAAAGTGGCCTTTTGCTGTGTTACAATGTAGCTTACTAAGACGCGATGTATTAAAACTTTTTTTTTTTTTCCTTCCAGTAAGAGAAGCAAAAAAGGAGATAAAAATGGGAAGGGTCTGAGGCATTTTTCAATGAAAGTATGTGAAAAAGTTCAACGTAAAGGAACAACTTCGTACAATGAAGTTGCTGATGAGCTGGTATTGGAATTCACAAACTCTAACAGTCACCTAGCCACAGACTCGGTAAGCAAATACATTTGGAAATGTGTTGCACCATCAAAAAACTGGCTGGTTTATCATGGAATTGCGCCTCTTCTGTTTCTGCACTGTCCTGCCACACCAGATATCTTCCTTCATTACTTAACTACTTCCCAAATATAAAGACTTTACCCTCTGAAATTTAAAAATACAGAATTAAAATCAAGAATTGACCTCCCTCTAGATTTCTAAGATTTCCCTCTTAGATTTCTCTAAGCAAATTAGAGAAGTATGTCAAAGTAGTTAGGCTTCTCAACTGGAACAGACTTACCAAGGTGTGAATCTGCTGCATAGAGGCTTCAAGCAGGCCTGAGGCTTCCATCTGCAACCAGAGAGCTCACGTGGTACCCAAGTAGTAGCACTGATAAAGGCATCATGTTTTAATACCCCTCTGAACTGAACTGCCATTCCAGCTTTTTATCTTCTGTGTATCTCTAAAGGATATGTTCCATATCTTTTTCCTTTTTGAATTTTTATTGTACTTAATTCTGTATTGTTTTCTTAGCAGGCTTATGATCAGAAAAACATTAGGCGGAGAGTTTATGATGCCCTTAATGTCCTGATGGCAATGAACATAATTTCAAAAGAGAAGAAGGAAATCAGATGGATTGGCCTTCCCACAAACTCGGCTCAGGAATGTCAGAATCTAGAGGTAAGGTGAGGTACATGGGAAATTTTGCATAGGTCAAAGGTTGTGATAATGGAGGTGCTTGACTTTAGAAGAGGGTTTTTTTTCCCTCAGTTTGAACCAGATTGGTTTTGATTCTTGAACACTATGAAAATACCTCCTTTGATATTTGAATAAACTGAAAGGATATGTTTATGTATGCTTAGTGCAGTTTTGTGTAGTATACAACATGAAGTTTGGGGAAAAACCCCACCTGTTTACCTTACAAAAATCAGGGAATACTTTTAAGATTAAAGTAGCCAGAATTAACCAGCAGAAAAGTCACAAGAATATATGGTGCGGCTATGCTTAGAAAATGGTATATATTTAAAAGGAGACCAATTTTATATTCCTGTCTGTACTTGGAAATGCCAATCACAGGAAATAAAGCTGAAAAGTAATTCCTGTTAGGATGTTAAATGCTACTTAAAAACTGACAGGGGAAAAAAAAGGAAGTTTTACTTATTGGTGGTTTCCATTATTTCTCCAGCAGGCTGTGAGTTACTGTGTTTTTTGTAAGGATGCCAGAATTCATATGCACAAATGTTGCTTGTCCTTCAGGCCAAATGCTCTATAAATAAAAATCACAAGTTACTGTATTTACTGCATACTGCTGCACTGACTGTAAATACATCTTAATGTGTATTGTATTTGTGATACTCGTGGTATCATATACCTTAAAAGGTGGGTGGGATGCCTCTGCAGAACAATTATTTTTGTGCAAGTTAATTTACATCAAGTGTCATTCTAGATGTGGTAACAAAGAAGCTTTTACTGTCTGTCCAGTACAGCAACCTGGAAAATACATCCACCCAGCAAGTAGGCAGATGCTGAACCATTTTTCTTCAGGATTCTATTTTTTAAAGAGCTACAGCTAAATGTACATTTTCACATTCATTCCAGTGAATGCATTATTTTAAATATAGGTTGTTGTTACGCATCTGGAACTTGAATTTCATTGTCTCATCAACCATGATCTTACGCTTTTCACCGTTTCAGGCTCCAATTACAAATGCACAAAATGGAAGCCAGGCGTAGTTTTTTAAAATGTTGCTTCCTATGGCATAACTGAAAAAAATAGAAAATAAAGCTGCATTTGCATGGTGTGAAAACCTGAATTCATTTTCCTCTTTAAAGCTGTGTAAAGTGCGAACTCTTTTTCATGTGTTCTTACATAATAAGACTACCAGTACAAAAATGAGAAACCAGTACAAAAAAGCCTGTTATACAGAAACCATGTCTAAATTAGAATCTGTACTGTGTATTGGTTTTGAGAGTTACATGTTTGTCCCAGCAAAGAAAGTCATCTACTGTGCTCTGAAGGAAACTTTAAGGAGGGGGTGGGGGTCCACAAAGCACCACTGTAAATAAAATAGAAGAGTTTAGTTTTGAAGACTGCATCGTTTACTAGGGTTGCCCCAGGACACTATTTAAAGTGTCCTTAGTTGTCTCTGCAGTGTCAGTAGTCATTGGTGCCATTGCTGTCCCAAACACTGCATATTTAGGTTGAATACAGCTTTGCCCCTCAAACTAGCATTAAAAGAACTCTTGCAAGAAGTGAAACCTGTGCTCATGTAGATAATGTTACCTCCACCCCTTTTTGTTGCTGAAATCTTGTTAGTTTAAGCAAGTCTCAAATAAGTAGTCCAAACAAAAAGTGAAGTTCTCTGGAGAGATGCAGGTGATGATCCTGAGCACAGTCTCCACACGTTTATATCTAGTAGCTTGCAGCCAGAACAACAGTGGAAGGGATGGGCACAATTCCAAAAAGAGTGGGGGGCAGGATGGAAAAAAAGGAACCAACCAACTAATCCCAAAGCACCCTTTCCTCAAGCATTTAGTTTGGTACTAACTGGCATTCAGTGCACAATACAAAAGAGGAAGAATGGGAAGGACAGCAGTTTATCTATTGACCTGTTCCATGGAGAAACTCCTGTGGCTGTACAATTAGTCTGTTTTGAAAAATAACACAATATATGGCAAATGGGTAGGCCTGAAAAGAATTCTGCAGTTCACTTACTGTGCCCTGGAATCCAGCACCATTTTTAAAGAAAGTGTGTGTTTCTGTAAGGTGCAGCTGTAAAGCCTCTTCAGTTTGGCACACTGGAACAAACAAGGTAACCAAGTAAATATCTTGATGCATTTATATTTTAAGATAGAGAAACAGAAGCGGATTGAAAGGATAAAACAGAAGCGAGCCCAACTACAAGAACTGCTGCTGCAGGTATACTTAATTATTTTTTCTGTAAATGAAATCACCAAGTTCTGATCTGACATATTAGAACTTCTGAAGTTCCTCCTAGATTTATTTAGCAGCTATGATGTACTGTGGAGAAAAGTTTCATGCTGTGACCTTCCTGGCTTCTAGTAGGGGTACCTCTCAACTTCACTCTCTGGTCTATGTTTTACTAGAGTGAACAGGCATGCTGCTGCAGCTGTGTGCCACAAGTGTTTTCTTAGTATTCTGAAGGTCTGTCACCATTAGTGGGAATGGGAACACCTTGCAACTGCTTCCACTGACTCAGAGTCATCCCTGTCCCCCCCACAGAGTTTGCTTCTTGGAGTAGTTCTTGCAGAAAATTTCTCTCTGATTCTAAGCAACAAAATTTATGACACAACAATGTGTGTAACGAGTAGAGAGTTGTTTTGGAGGAGACAGACGGACACTTCTGGATCTTTAGAGTGGGAAATCCAACTCTTACCTTCTGACATCCACCTTTGAGATGACTTAGATTTTGGCTTTGCAGAAATTTATTTCAAATGCGTCTTTGCTTATAAAGTGAAATTTTCTAAATAGCTAGAAGCATTCTGAAGAGTTTTGGTCTTTGAAGACTTTCCGTAATTTAATGCATTTGGGCTTTTTAATGAGGCTTTGGGCAATAAGGCTATTTTTTTTTTTTTCCTGGTGCAACTATATGGATAAAATTTTCATATAATTAGCTATATACTGAAACTTTTAAATATCTAATGCTTCTTGTTTTGTCACCAAAAACTGTGTCTCTACTTAGGGTACAATTCTATCTGTCTGATCTAATAAATTAGCAGCTTCTATAACAGTAACATGAAATTGTCCTGGTGACAGTAAGGCAACTCAGGCCCTCTTAACTATTAGTCAGCCCTCTTAACTGTTAGTCTGAAAATTACAGAGTTGGACTCCTTTACTGTCTACAACTGTCACTATTTCCTTGATTATGTTCATTGTCAAATGGTTTACAAGTGCTTTGGGATTCTGTCTGTCCATCTTCCCCTTAAGTGAACTAAGTAATGCCTCAAACTGGGTAAGCACACTGACTTCCAGTCCCTCAAGTAACATCTCCCAAACCTACACATTTTCATACATATGCAGTCAGAGATAATAGCAAGGGAGCTGTGTCATGAACAGCACCTGTTTAAAAACTTTTAGAGGAGAATTTCAAAACCAGTTTTTCTGAGAGAGAAAAGAGGGAGATGGATGAGAAGGCAAGGAGAATACAGGTTCTGGGAAGTGGGAAATGTTGGCATTTCTGATAATTATTTTTTAAGTGTAAGAAGCTCCCAATGTGAGGTGGTTGTGCATATAATGTAACAGTGCCTGCAGTGCCTTTTTGAAAGGAATGGGGAACTGTTCTTCATCAAGCTTTATTTTATTGCTCCTGTCTTGTTTCTTCTCTGGGGACTGTGAGGGGGGCATAGCCATTAGGAGTTGGGTGAGAAGCTAATGTTTAACTTCTGTTCCTGCTAAGCCACACTAGTGCAGAGAGGGAGTCAGGCTACAACTTACCTTTTGACAGAAAATTCCTGGAGCTGTTGGGAGTTTGTAAATAACAGCTTGTGAAGTTCCACACTGATGTCTTCTATTTTTTTGTCAGTGATCGTTTTCTCTTTCTTTTTACAGCAAATAGCATTCAAAAACTTGGTACAAAGAAATCAGCAAAATGAACAACGAAATCAAGGCCCTCCAGCTTTGAACTCCACAATACAGCTGCCTTTCTTAATAGTCAACACTAGCAAAAGAACAGTTATAGACTGCAGCATATCAAGTGATAAGTGAGTGTTTACGGAATCAATTTTTAGAACTGTATTTTCTTTGTGAATAGAATTTTTGTTAGAACAAATCAGAGAACTTCTCTAGTTTACTAGAAGTGAATTAAATATGCTATTGTCACTTCAGGGGGGTGTTTTCTTTTAGCTTCTTTTTTTGTTGTTTTGGTTTGTTTATATATGTGTATATATATCATGCAATATATAACACAATATATTAGGTATATCATTGCCTAATGTAATGTATAGGTAATATATAAACATAATAAGTCAATATATTGATAAATAATCTAAGTATTAAATACTAATATAATGAATATTACATTAAAATATTAATGAAAATTAAAAAGGTATTAAATTCTATAATGTATAGTATGTGATATATTATAGAATCTAGTATAATAGATATATCATACATTATAATATATAGTTTTCATTGGTATCAAATTAATATATATGCAACAAATTATATTTTATTATAATTATATTCTATTATTATAGAATATTACCATATTATAGCATAAAATTATCATGTGTGATATAAGATAAAATATATATAATATATATAGTATATATTAATGTATGTATTGGGGTGGTGAGGCACTGGAATAGGTTGCCCAGGGAGGTTGTGAATGCTCCATCCCTGGCAGTGTTCAAGACCGGGTTGGACGAGGCCTTGGGTGATATGGCTTAATGTGAGGTGTCCCTGCCCATGGCAGGGGGGTTGGAAATTGATGATCTTAAGGTCCTTTCCAACCCTAACTATTCTATGATTCTATGTAAATAACTATAAACATATGATTGTATTAATATATTAGATATATTGAAATACGACATAATATATACTGTATAATATATAATTTATAGTAAGTAATTATAATTTTATTTAAAACAGTTATATATTCTAATATCTCGATATTAATATAGCAATAGATGCAGATATATTGATATATAATATTATATATTATGTGTAATTATGTAACTTTATATAAGATTCATTATAGTATGTCTATAGCATAAAGTTATGATACATATATTCTCTCTATATCAAACATATGTATGCTTGTTATATATAAACATGTATAACATTTTATATATGTTTATAACATATATAGAATATATATTCTATTCCAGTATAGTTTATGCTATAATATATATTTATATAATATCTACTATGGTATTACATTATATTTTAAATATTATTCCATATTATTTACTCAGTATTTATAATATCTAATGTTAATATATAAGCATCTAAAACATAATTTTATACATAATATAATTACGTATATATTATATATATTATACATATACTGTACAATCCTATATACATAATATAAATTATATATGACATAATATAACACAAATATGTTATATAATGTAATATAAAAGCTACACTATATAGGATATTATTTACTAAGTATTTATAATATCTAATGTTAATATATAAGCATAGAAAACATAATAAATCTAATATATATCAATTATTAGCTATTATACAAGATATATCTATTATATATTAATATATATTAAATATTATAGATATATTTATCTATAATATAATATGGAATAATATTGAAATATAATGTAATATATAATAGCTACATAAACATGAGACAGATACCAGTAAATATTTATAGAAATATTTAATTTTTATATTAATAAATTAGTAATGTGTGTATACTATATAACATATTTTTTAGTAATACATAGTATATAAATATATTGATATCTATTGATATCAGTAAATGATGTAATATATACTATATATTAATGAATATATTATGTAGTAATTTATAGTAATATATATTGAAATATGTATTATATATAATTATATATCATATAAATAGTATTATATACCTTACACATATACTAGATAGACACACATATATACATATTTTATATATATCTAAAACCAAACCAAAACCAACAAAAAAACCCTAAACAAAACACCTCCCTGAAGTGACAATAGCTAATTTGAATTACTTCTAGTAAACTATATGTATAAAAAATGAAGCAATGTTTATCAACATTGCCTTACAGCCACTAGTTAGAACAGGCTGACTTTCACTGTTTCTAAAAGGCACTTAAGACTGACACTTCAAAGCGCATTCACTACACAGGAATAACTGAATCGAATTCTATACTAGGATAGCACCAGTATGTGTTAGTGCTTCTGAGTTCATATTTCTAATGTGCCGTAAATGTATTTAGTCAGAAACACAAGGTGTTCCATGTAACACAAAAATAAAAGCCTAGAGGTGATAGTAGTAACTTTGAATGTGTCTTTTAATAGCAGAAAGGTGTAGGTGACCCTTTGAAGGGGAAAAAAAAGGAAGGATATAATACAGAAATTTGAAATACTGCCTTTGTAAGCAAATTGATAAAGTTGCACTAATTCATCTGAAAATCACTTACATACTTCTGGCTGCTTATCCTCTTCATCCCATGAAAATATAGCTGGAAGTATGAGGTACTGTTATGCTAACTTTTAATCAGATCACAGTTTATTAGCTGAAAACAGCTGGCTCTGCCTCAGTACTGAAGATTACAGACTTCACTTGGTGCTATTCAAATCCCTTATTGAACTTGAATTCCATTAACATGGCAAAATAGATAGTCTCTAGTAACCTAACTACCAATGTGCAAAAGCAATATTATTAAAAGTTGAATTTTTGTAGAAAATTTGGCTGAAGTCCAGTATATTCTGTAACAAAACTTTAGGAATACTTCAGTTTATGCTGTATTTCAGCAAGTTGGGAATTTTAGATTCTACATTGATTTAGCTTGACTGTATCCTTATTTTATTAGCATACTATGCAGTTCTCACTGCGCTTTAAACAGTGCTTTCCATTTAGGTTTGAGTTCGTTTAAAAGTTCAGTAGTTTCATACTGAAGCTTCAGAACTGGTGATTTAAAGTTGTCAGAGATTAACCTGGAATTTGGGATTTAGAGAAGGTTAACAATGTGCCTCCAGTTTCAAACTGTAAGAAAACAGTACTACTAAGAATGAACACACCAAAGTGATTTAAGCTGTTGATACTTCATTTTATGTAACCCAGCTTCAATATTGCTGTCATCTGGAGATCGTTAAGTGTACAACCCAAATTAAACAAGCTTTCCACTGTGGTTGTTGTTTGTGCAACTGATTAGTGACAGCAGCAGTGTGTAGATAAACAGTGGCAGAAACTGCTTGTGTTTAAAGCACTATTACATTGATCTGCTAAATATGGCAGTTGGCAAAAATGTTCACTTACATTTGTCCATACTAATTCTGTAATTTATTAGCGTTTGTGTTGCCTAACTGGTCAGCTTGAGTGCCGGCCCTTTAAGGTCAGTTAATAATCCACTGCTTAAAGGGCTTCCATTCCTTCTCCCAAGTAACATTCATACATGTTATCAACACTGGTTGGTTGACATTTATAATGCCACAGCAGGTGATGTTAGAAAGTCCAATGAACAGATAACCTCATAGGATTTGCTACTCAAAACTGTATTTACAGAGAATCTTCTAAAATAATTGCTTGGAAAAATGGTACATATAAAGGGGACTTAGCATCATGAGGAACATAGGTTTGTGTCTCCTAAGGTTTTTCCTATGCAAGAACAGGCTTGATCTAGCCACAACAGGATGAAATTTCTCACATGCAAAACAAAGAGGTTGAGGTTACTGGGCGAGTTTTGTTTAGAGTTTGAGAAGGCAGGCAGCCGGGTGCCAAGCAGCATGCTGGGAATGGCATTTCTGAAGCTGGTGTCAAGAAAAGCAGTCTGAAGATAAAATAGTTAAAAATTATATTGAAAAGATGAGGCACCTGAGCAAGTAAGTCCCATTTAAAGAGGAAAAAAAAATGTATTTATTGTATATGGTGCCTCTGTATAAATGCTGTAGGTCTTGGGGAAAAGGAGAAAATAAATAAAAGAACCAGAATACCTAGTTTTAAAGAAGCATTCAAACACAATAGAGGTATCACAAATGTGGAAAATAAGAACATGTTGCTTTTAATGGAAAACGCAGAGGATTTTGCTATTGGACATACAATACTATCTGTGAAAGTAAACATGTAGAAAGTAGGCTCATCTACCCTTAGAGAAAGAATTGCCTGCAAGAGCAGAAACTCCAGATTAAATTAGTTGTTGATCAAATTTGCACTTACCTTGCGAAGGGACAGGAACTGCACCCAAATTTCACATTCACAGCATTGGCCTCTGGAGTGATCTTTTAGCACTGAATTTTAAGATAGCAGCCCAGTAGATCATTCTATGAGAACAAAAAAGGATTTCTCAAGAACAGCCAAAACAATGCTGGGAATTATTAGCAAAACCAGTAAGAAATACAATGTAAAATTAGATGTGTATAGTGCTTTCATATCTGGAATACTGTATCCTCTCCTGTTCTTGGAAAAAGTGTAGCATAACCAGGCGAGAGACACAGAAGGAACAGATGGACTCCATGGCCTAGAAAAAGAGAGGACAGTGGATTCACAGGTTTCTGTAAAATCATGGATGACATGGAGTGTATGCCCAGAGAATACCTGGACACAGTTGCTTATTAAAGTTAAGAGACAAGAGCAGATACCAGGCGCTAGGTTATAGACATAAGGAATATAAGTGGTTTTGTAACAGTCAGTCTATGCAGATCATAGCATTTGATGTTGCTCATGCCAAAAGTTTCTCTGTGTTCTAAAAGGGGTTACGTCAAGTCCCTGACAGAAAATCCTCAAACAGGTCTTAACAGCAGAGGTGGAGGAAGTGCAGAACTTCCTGCATCAGGGGCTGCAGGTTGCTGGAGACTATATCTGGGGAAATACTACTGTAAGTTTGTTTGGAAACTTGAAGGGGGATGGAAAGGAGTTCGGCTCCTTTCTAACATCTAGTATTTGACCACAACACCTGGGAGGAGAAAGCCAGAGCTATCAGTAAATACAATCTTTAATCCTGTACCATAAAAGCTGAATTCAGTTATAACTTAGTTACTACACAGCTTGCTGGTAGAAACTTGGTATGACGCTTCTCCCATCCCCTGTTTGTGCAAACGTAATTACTTGACTTTAGGTGCACCAGTCCAGGTAGCAGGAATGTCATTTTACCACTTAAAGTGACATATCTTATTTTCCCTTTTGATGTGGTTATGCTTAAATAAGTACAGGTGCATAAACAGTAGGTTTTACAGGTAATACTGTGTAAGTCACAAAAGAGATGATGCCTGTAACTCACAGTTACACCTCATTCCAAGCATGCAGATTACTAGATGAAAATGTTGTGCCTAAGCACAAAAGGTGAAACTTCTCCAAACTTACTGGATCCAAGAAAATTAGTATTTAAATTAAAAAAAAAATAAAATAAAAATCCGCATGTGACATGAGCTTGGAGAGCTGATGGAAGACCCACCAGTGAGTTATCTTTTAAAGACTGTCTCTCACAGATGGGTTGCTTTTCCAGGCATAAAGGATTTGTTAGCAGAAAATGAGGCACTGGGAGCCAGCCTGTATCGTGATCCCTGCACTGGGGCTGTCTGGGCATTTACTAGCCTCTGATCAGAGCATAAGGCCAGTCACCACAGGTGCCCCAGCTTTTCTTAAAGCTGTCTTAAGTTTAAATCACTATTTCCACTTCTATAGGCAATGAAAAGCATTCTGAGAATCCTGCAGCAAGAAATGGTAGGTTGTGAACATAAAAGACTTAGAACAGACTGCATTGCTAGCTGCATCCAAAAATGCAAAACTAGACCAAGGTAAATAGGTCACTTCACAGGAGGAGTGTTGCACATTAGAACAGAAAATGAAATGTCCAAGAAGCAAAAACAAAGTAGTTATTTTGGTGACAGGGCTGCAGATGACCTTTAAAAATACTGGATTTAGTACAAGTGAAGGTTCATGTTCAATAAGGCCTCCCTCTTCCCCTTTGAATCTGTTTAATGAGGTAGAAAACTTTAGACTTCCTGCAGTGGTAAAGTTACTTTAATTGAGAAAGTGCCATTTTACATCCCATAGGCATGCCAGTAACAGAAGCAGAAGAGAAAAAGCATTTGCTGCACTTTTTTTTCCCTTAAGGACCCTTTGCAGATAATGAAGGATCGGGATACTTACCTCAATGCAGGATGAACAGGCAAAACCCACATAGCTGTGCTCTTTTCAAGCCATCTCACTTTGACTTTTCACATGCAGATTTGAATACCTCTTTAATTTCGATAACACTTTTGAGATTCATGATGACAGTGAGGTGCTGAAGAGAATGGGAATGTCCTTTGGGCTCGAGTCAGGCAAATGCTCAGCTGAGGATCTAAGAACTGCAAAATCACTGGTGCCCAAAGCTTTAGAAGGCTACGTCACAGGTAAGTTATAGATGAGACTTTTACATTCCTGATCAAATTCAAAGCATTAGTTAACCAAAGCAAATTTAATGATATTAGCCCACATAAGTACATAACAATTGAAGTTTTGTGGGAGCTAGTAGGGTTGGTACAGAAACCAGTTCTTTTACAGGTCATTTTGGAAGGTTTATCGTAATAGTCCTGTAAATTTAATTCACACTGATCTATAACAACAAACTCCTGCGTGAATTGTGTTATGAAGAAGTTATTTCTTAAATAGCTGAACTGACACCAAGGTCAGATTTTCATGGATTAATACTAATTTTTCATGACACTGGATGAATGAAAGAGCAGGCTGGAAGGCAGCTCCTCCAAAGCTGAGGAGGAAAAGGAAAGAAAGTATCTTAAAGTGAGTGAATGTAATCTACAAGTGACTCCCAAGCCAGCAGGTTCCACCTGAGAACAGAGATGCTCTAAATAAAAGCAAAAAGCTCCAAAGAGTTCCAGGACAAGAGTCTCACACTGAGGCTTTTACCTCCCCTAGTCACGCTGCTTGAACAGGTCACACTTAATAGGCTCAAATCTTCAATTGTTGGACTAGAGCTGCTAAAATTTATAATCAGTCCTTTAGCTACTGTCACACTGCGTTCTTCCTGCTCTGCCCAAGCTTAAAAGTAGGCCAGTATTTTCTCAAGTTTCTGGAGGGACTTCATCTGTAAGGGAAGTGTTACCCAAGGAATTAACTGTATGCACACCTTCATTTTTGAAGAAGAGGGGAGCAAAGCTATTGCCTTGGTTTCTCTACTAACGAGGCTTTAATCTTGATTAATCTACAGTAGTATAAAAGTCTGGCTTTCACACAGCTAGGCTGGACACTTCAAACATTTGACTTTTTAACTTTACTAAAGGTGATTCCCTTCTGGTGGCAACACTTAATCCTTATGTCAGGATAATTTAAAATGCAGGCTTTATATTAATGCTGTTTTGTTTTGCTAAGGATAATATAGTTAAGCAGTCAGGAAGCTGAACGTTTGGGTTTTTGTGTCCTTGATTTTACTATGTGAGAGAACTAAGAATTAAACAGTTGCTTAAAATTTGTGATACGAAAACTGCTGGATCTAAATTAGAACTCAGTTACATTCACTAAGATCAGTACATTCTAAATGGCTTAACATTCCAAACTACATCAAATGTGCTTATGTTTATCAAGGCTTGTTTGCATTTTCCTGGTCCCCTTGTGCTGTGGGTTTCAAAACTAAGATTTCATTTTTTAATTTCAGTCAATTTTGAAATTGCCCCCCCAAGTCTTTATAAGGCTGCACTGATGTCAAAAAGAGAAGTTGAAAGAAATTTTAATTTGTTCCTTGCTGGCTCATTCAACTGAAAATTACCTACCACATTTACCACCAATGTAAAAAAAACGGGAAAGGAGCAGAACCCACATCTTTTAACAGTGTTGCAGTGTTCAGGTTACTTAACTGTGCCTGTCTATCAAGGAACAAACTAAGATTTCTGTTCCAATTTAAACCTGCATTAATTTCTCTTCAGAAAACAGGGTTGCTTTACATTTGCAAAAAACCCTGTCATTACACGATATACCAAATAAAACCAGCTTTCATGATTAAAGTGATAAATGTCTAAACTAGTGCTTAGTAGGTCATTTTAGTTTGTTTTGAAAAAAATTTAGTCACACTAAGTACTGCTGGTGGGGGTTTTACTGAAAGCACTAAAGGCAAAACAACCATTATGTTCCTGTGCAAGTGAGAAACAAATAGTCCTCTGTTTCAAAGAAACTAACCCAAGAAGAACAGATTTGAAGATAGCTTAAAGAACATGGTGATTATATCTCTAGTAGCAGACCATCAGCCAGAAACCCGGTCATTAGAAATGTATTGATTTTTATATTTTACTTAAAATGCACTGAGGTGAGTAACATACTCTTCAGACAAGGTTCAGCTTGTGAAAAAAATTACTCCAGAAGTGTTACTAGAGTAGATACATTTATTTTCAAAGGTTTCTTCTATCTGTTGCTTGCTACTTAATTGTGTGAATTGCATAGTACATGTTTCTAATGGCAGTAACTGACATAAGGGAAACTGATTTAAATGTTTTGCACAATACTTGAAACCCCAGCATTTGCCCAGTTGTGAATTTTTCAGTTAAGTCTCGCTTCCTGTTTTAACTTTGACAGCCTTCAGATGTTGTTTCTTACCCTGCAATGACAGTGAAACAGAAGGCTCATCGCTGGTTTCTAGACTTTATGGTTACTTCTGTAGCTGTCATGATGGCACTGTTAAGTACCTTGGCTTCAATTACTGCTATACAAGAAGAGCAAATCAAGGTCTCTTATTTATTCACTGGGTCAATTTATTACATTCAAGATTAAAGTTCTCCTAAACGAGCTGAATCTGTGGACTGAACTGCTGTAGAAACCAGTCCTGTTCTAGTACGTGTAAGCAGGCAAGTCATTTCCCATACAATGTTGTTAGTTTGACTGTAGCCTCGTCATCTTTTTCTTTTTTTTTCCAGATAATTACTGACTTCCAAACACTTAACAGTGGTTTGGCCTGTAGTTCTTGCTAACAGGGCTGGCGAAGCGGTTGGAAGAATCCAAGTCTCAACTAGTTCAATGAAAGAAATTTAAAATTGACAAAACTTGGACCATCTCGGGTTTAAAAGAAAGAAGTTACTTCTAGACACATTAAACATGACAAATAATTTGCTTGGAACTGCTGAACTGATATATCAAAGCCTTTTAGTGTATTCTCTTTGCAAGAGGATCATGTGGTTTAGCCATTCTTCAAGTGCCCTAATTTGATATGCTTGATGAACTAAGTAGGTAATCCAGCAAAAGCAATGGACATAAAGCAGACTACACTACAGCCTTCTTACTGTGGAAGGAGCAGTGTCATTTCTCGTATTATACTCGCACCAGCTAAAGATGCACACCAGGGTCACATTCCTAATTGTGCATTCCTGCCCATTTCTTAATTTTGACAGTTACTTTCCTCTGTCCTCTTAATGGTCTGGTTCAGGGTACTAAACTGTAGGTTCTTTATCTGGCAGAGACCTTTCTGACAATGCAGCATGTCGAAATGGCTAGTTAAGGGCTCATACCAGAACAGTTTTAAGTAAAAAGGGAGTGAGATTGCTGGATGAGGTGAAATACACCACTGACTGAGACAAGCATAAACTCTTGTAGAACCATATCCTGAAAACTATCTTGTACCTTTTAAGCCATGCATATACTAGAAGTATTTAATGTAAATTCAGGTCTGGTATTTGTCAGCTGAGTCCTGACTCCTAGAAATGAGACTACGGATAAATATTTTGAGGTACATTACTTGTGGTAACAACCCCTCACTTGTACATATCCCACTAAGGCAGTGAGCACATAAAGGGGTACAGTTTAGGACCTCTAGATTACAACACTTCTTTTTGTTTCCTTCTCCCCTGCATGGAGAAATGCTTTGCTATCATCTACCTGCATAACCAGCTTTGACTGGCAATGGGCTGGAGTTAGAACTGAAGAGATAAAAGTACTACTGAATGAACAAGCTTGTTTGGCCATCAGCAATAATCCTATGCAGCACTTTCACTTTAGCATTAATTACTAAGGCTATTGATGATGTTTCTTTAGAGCCTTCTCATATGAGGAACAAATTTCTTCCAAGGATATCTGCTCCTTCTCATATAAAGAAGAAATTTCTGCCAAGGATATCTGCTGCAAGATATGTCTGTCGATAATAAGGGTGCCACTCTTAGACTGGCCTGTACCACCTTGGGAGGGTTTTTCCAAGCTGCTTTCCCTGGTTCACAGGTGTACTATTAGTAACTTCTCTGTTCTGTTCTAAGTAGTAAGTCTTTTCATTGTAGGCAGCATTCTCTTTTAACAGTTCTCTTCAGACAGGAAATGGCTTCTTAAATGTTAAAACTTCTTTTCCCTGGCTTCTCGGAGCCCACTGGAAAATAGAATTAGAAGGCAATGAAAGTACAAGGCAGGGATAGGCATCTATGAACCTCCTTTCTGCCTTATGTGTAAAATCCAAACTTTCCTTCACCTTGCTTTTCACAAAGCTAACTAGCTATTATCCCACAGTGTTAATAAAATGCAGTATTACTAGCAGCAACTTGTTATTCTCCTGAAATATTAAACGTGTACATACAGGTACATCCCTTCAACAGACCAGGAAACAACGCTGTGATACATCTCTAATCCACTTTATTAATCTATGACAATGCAGTCATTCTAAATGGTTCAGCCTCTTCCTGCAAAGACAAGAGGAGACTGTAGAATGTGTTCTCTGTAAAAACAAACCTGCATTTATGGCAATCTTAATGAAAGCCATCCATCTATGTCCATGTTTAACTATTCTCATCTATCCCATCCTCAGAGATCACCCTAAAGCTGCCACTTAATATTTTCTGTCATGTTCTAAAGGCTGTTGGCAGGAACATTGACCTTGCTAGCCTTGCCTTATACCAGAGCATTTAAATACCTCACTGCTAATGGGTCTCCACAGCACAAAACAAGGTAGCATGTGGATCCCAGTGGATGGTGAGCCACTTTCTGTGGTTGTGACAATCTCCTTAGAACAGTCCCATGCTAGAGCCAGACACTGGCAAATCTCAAGCCAAAGCTTAACTAGAACACAGACAAACAAGAAAGCATATGTAACAAAGTTATTCCTCTTGTCTGCTGTTACGGAGCAATTCTAGGTACAGTATGAATAGTGCAATCTGATTTTTATTGCCATCGTGCTGTACCGAACAGAGGTTTGGTTAGGCATAGCAACTAACTAAGCACAGTAACTCCTGGTTTAATGCATCCAGCTGGAACCACATGCAAGCACCATGGAGAAGAACTAGACAGTCCTGATAATTCATTTCAATTTGAACTTTGTGTTGAGATGGAATTTGGGTAGGTCTGTAGAAACATCTTATCTAAGAAAGAAGTTAAAACCATATATACACACCCCCAAAAAATATCCCATGTGTACTTGGGTCAATGGACTAGTTTTGCTGATTCTCTTAGCAGAAATGTGCATAACTGGAAACAGGTGACTGGCATTACTTGCTACAGAATTTGAAAACAGGTTCTATGAGGTTTGTAAGTAACCCACTCGTGCCTCAGAGGGCTTCCAACAAACTACCTCAAGGAATTCCACAGTACTGCAAGGCCGTTTTAGTCCTAAAATTTGCTTTCCCTGGGGAGGAGACTTGCACCTCACACATGCAGTATACAACAGGATCTCTCTTTCGTACTCTTGACACAAGACCTCTGACATGGTGTGTTCACATCCACACCTGATCCATCAGAACAGATTAGGAGGCTGCATTGCAGCCAGTTGTGAGACCACTGAATTGAAACTGCCTTTGGCCATCAGAACACACACAACTGAAAAACACATACTGCCTTCATGATGGCTTCCTTGCAGTATCTCCAGTCCTGACAAGTACAATTCCATTTACACCTTCACCAAGCGCAACAGCAAAGGCACTTTGGGGCATAGGATCAAGCTGTACAACCTCCAAAACTATTTCAGGTACCTGTGATTGCATATGGCTACTGGCCAGGGTCATCTGCAGCATCAACCCTCTTCAAGCAGAGGGGAGAGTTTCATAGAAATAACCACAACTGTGAGTGTGAGGGAGTGCAAGGCTTGAGTGCATCCACAAACACTGGGGGTGTATGTACAGATTTATAATTTCATCTTGATTAAACAGGCCACATCTACAGTTTAAGGAATCTTAACTGCAAAGAGAATGTGAAGTTTAAGATAATAAAAGGAAGAAAATATCAAGTAGCTGTCATAAATACAATGATACTTTTCTTCTAGATATGTCATCAGGATTTTCGTGGATAAATCAAGGGTTACTTTCAAGTTCAGCACAAGCAGGTTCACATTTAGAGGTGGCAGGAAGCACTTCTGATGCTAAATCAAGGTAAATAAAATTAAGTCAAAGATTATGGTATATGCTTGTGATACTTCAATAAGCTCACTATTTCATATTATTTATATGTAGGTAATGAAATGTCTTCTGTATGGTTGATCTTTCATTTTAAATGAGCCTTATTCTGTCTTCTTTTATAATTACATTTGAAAGGTCAAATCAACATGTTTTGAACATATTACCTATATTGTACCTATGTTTTAAAAGAATCAAATCACTTTCAAGCCCTTACTATAATGACAGAGTTCTCCTGATTAACCTTGAATACCTGCCTGGGCATGGACTACAAATAATTTATTACACATAGAACAAAGCCTGATAATACTTCTGAAGAACGCAGGAGGATGTTTGGTGTCTAAATGCACTACTGCTTAAACTATCAATCATGAAAGAAATTTAATCTACACAGTCTAATCATAAATTAAAAACCAAGCACAAAACACCACCAACAATAACAATCCAATGCAAAAACACTGTAACAACTGTGCTTTGCTTGGAAGTTACCTGTACCTTAAAAAGCAGAAAGAGAGATCAGTCTGAAACAGGTTCTTCCACATGGCATTTAACAGTTTAATTTCATATTCCAAACATTTCTGTGTATTGAAAAAACTGTGAGGGATTTATTTTTTTAACTTTATTCAGCTTGAGCAACTCTACTAGTTGGTTATGAAAAAAATAAAAAACAACAACAAACCACCCAACAATCTTTTATGTTACTTCAACACTTCAGCTGTTTCCATAACTATTAGCTGTGTTTAATGTTGGTAGCATTTCTTTAACTAAAGGAAAAGCTGAGGTCAAAAAGCTTTAAACGTCATCTGAAATCCTCTAAACTTCACCATTTCTGTTGTTTTAATAGTGAGAATCCAGGGTTATGTTTGGATGCTGAAGTGGCCTTAGCAACTGGGCAGCTTCTTGCCCCAAGCAGTCAACAGTCCAGCAGTGCAACATCACGCTACTCAGAATCACGGGGAGAAACTCCATGCTCATTCAATGATGAGGATGAAGAGGATGAAGATGACGATTCTTCCTCCCCAGAATAAGGACAGTAGAAAATGGAATATACAAAATGCTGCTCAAAGATTCCTAATGGGAGCTCCTGTTTGGATTTCACTGAAGTTTCAGCCACAGCTGAAATTGAAAACTTTTTGTACCTGAACACAGAGTGACATGCAGACACAGAGTGATGTGGGGTTTATCAACTATAACCAAGGAAAAGAACAAAGTCCCCTGGAGATTTGGCAAAGTAAACACGAAATTCACATTTTCCATTTTGGGACATACTCAAATCTCTGTCTTTACCAGATGGAAAGGAAAACAGCGTCAGTCAACAAATGTCAGTTCTCACATTGTCTTTTGGCTGTGCTACCTTTAGGAAAACGGGGAGCGAGAGCACACACAGGTGTGCTGAAATAGCTATTTAAAACTATCCTATATGAAAATTGTTCTAGGGAAAGGGGGCTGTTAGAATGTTTGCTTTTTTCTGTTCAACTTGCTGTATAGAAGATTCCTAAAGTAATATAAATTGCGATAAAATGAATCTTGAAATAGTTTAAATCCGTTTTAGATACTCTAAAATTAACATTAGTATGTCTCTTTTGAAAGGTTCATATGTTCATTTATACTGCAGACCTAATTTATTATAAGTGATTATTCTTAGCCATTATTAAACAGTCAGGATAAAAACAGCAGTATTCTCTGCACCAGCTTTTTTCAAGGAAAAGAATTGTATTTCTAGATTATAGTGTATCCTGTAGAGCTTCTACTTTACTGTTCTAACTTTATAATCCCTTTGATTTTATAGCACACTGGGTTTTTTAAAAGAGGATCTCAGGCAGCATGTTCTCAAGGCAGTGTTTTCAAATTCAGGATGGGCATGTCACATAGCTGTTAAAGCTGTATGTTGAGGTTCATAGGAAAAAAATTAAATTTCAACAATACATCATTTCTTGTTTTTTATTCTAGTCAGCTTAGATTAGGACAGACTGACTTTCTTACCATTAACTTCTGTTGCACTCACCTTGATGCGCCTCTGAAAACAGTAGTATCAAAATACCACTTCTCAAAATAATGTGTAGCTCAACATACACAACATGAATCCCATTTCAGCTGTTATTTAGATTTGTAACAGGACGCTCAGTGTTCTAAAGTTAACATCACATCCAACCGTCAAGACCTCATTTTAAAAAAAAAGCTTCAGAAACAGAGCAGAATACACTGTACATGTACTTCTCCTATGGTTTTCTAACATCCAGTATTTTAACTAGTCTTGAAGTTAACCATTTTTAATTAGGTTAAAATAGTGTTACTTCTTTTTAGTTTTTATACTGTATGGAAATAGCTGACCTGTTTCTAAGTACCACTCTATTAGCTGTCAGAGCTCAACAGGGTTGGCTCTGGTATTTAGTTATGAGATTAGGCAGCTTGTCATACTGTTGCTTGAGCAATGGCAGCAAACTGTTACCCGTGGACTGCTGTGACCAATACTCTTAGCACAACATGGTCATGTCCACAGACAAACATGCACTCAAGCCAGCCGTATCTAGAAGCACCAAGCCTGAGCAAGTGGGGTAAATGGAGGCTGCAGCTAAAAAGCTACCTGGCTATCAGACAAAAGAGCTAACACAGGCCTAGCTACATAGAGGACAGGTAAAACTGCAAGGAGCAGACAAGCACCCCTGCATGTTTACAATAAAAATTAAAGCATCCAGATAGAAACTTTTCACAGGTAGTCAAACTCCTGCATCTGAGGTACAGTCTGGGTGGCACCATTAATTCGGTCTACCTCTTGACTGAGCAAGCAGAGCTGTCCAGCTTACACAAATGAGTTGCAAACACACAAACTAAAAGAATTCTTACATGCCTACCACGTTACTCTCTGGGCAAGACTGTTAAGACTGTCCTGTGCTCATGGCTCACAGGCAACACCAGACTAAGGGATTTACAACACCTCACTTCAACCAAATCTGTAACTCTACCTCTATATGAAGAAAAGCTTTACAAATAAAAAATAATATTCTTGCTGAGAGAGTCAATATACTTAACTGAAGTGGCTCACTTTTGAAATAAGAGAACGTAACATACTCCACGTACATTACTATGGAATTGTCAGCTCTATGAATGATAGTTCATTTAAACAGATAATTGTTTTTATTCTTGAAAACCCATTGGTTTTTCAAAAACCATCCTTTCAATCAGCTTTCATTGAAGAGGGCAGACCAAAGATACCTGACATAGGAACTTTTTAAGAGGGAAACATTTTCTGAAGTTATCCCCCCCAGCAATACAATAGGGACACATTTAACTTTATGATCTCTTCACATTTCCCACTCAAGATCTGTGTGAAAAAAAAAAACAACAAAACAGCAAACCACTAAACAATTGCTAAAGAGGAGCACTTTGAACTGTAAGAACCTGGCAAAAAAGGCTTCCGGCCCAGAAACTGAATGTGTTCTATTAGCAGTCAGTGTGCCTTCTGCTTTATAGGAGGATCTTCAGTGATACCTTGCTTCCATTGCTGTCCATTCGCTTCAAAGCGGCAGACTGCACAGCTGCTTGCTTTCTGGCAAACTTCAAGCTATCAACTTGAAAAAGAAACCTAAAGACATCTAGGAGCATGCTACATTTATTTAGACAGTTGAACCAAGTCTTTAAAAGTTATTTTTCCTGAACTAATTGAATACAAAGGACAAAACAAGTTAGAACATTTAGAAGACTTCAAAAGGAAATTATTTCCTTGGAATTCATTGTGCCAAGTTGAGGATGAAGTTCAACTATAGCACTGCGGTCTTGTGGTTACACTGAAGTCTGGGAACTAGAATTTTGGGTGTTCTCCCGCCATAATCACTTGTGTATGATCTTAGGCAAGCCCTTCAATCCTTCCAGTTGATCTTGCCTGATAAAAAAAAGTAAAAAACCTAACCACCCCAGAACATCACAGGTAACTGCAGGACCTCACAAAATGAAGGTGTTGCATCTGAAATGAGCTCTGAGCATTATGAGTAACAAGGGGATTGAGAATATTAAGTAACCACACAGCTCCCACCAAGCTAATGGCGGGAGTTGTGCTCAGTTGCTTCAACATGCCAGCCATTCCTTCTTTTGAAAGCCAGCAGTGGATATTTTCCAGAGTAAAACAGTTATTAGCAAGACTGGGCTTCCCATTTTTTCCATTCAGTTGTTATCATCTTCTCCTGTCTCGTGCAATACCCCTGACATTCACTGATAGGAAACAAGGAGCAAATGGTACTAAATGGTATCTCTTACAAGACAAGGTTAACATTCAAATTTTCATACTAATTCTATTTAATGTAAATTTTAAGTGACATGTTTTTGTGTCTTGAAACACTGTTTCTTTGTTATACATTCAGAAAGCACTTGGTTGCAAGCAATAGAATGCTATGTGTAAATGCTCTTTTATATGTTGCAGTAAACAGCTTTATTTCTGGACTTACTTTATGGTGCTTAAAAAAAAAACAAAAAAACCAACTTAATTTGACTTGTCAGCACCACAAGCTAGATGAAAATAATCTGAGTGGGATACAGCTTTTCTCTATTATATGGAAATCTGACATAATGTTTGTGCATTCTGGAGTTTTTCATTGTTATTAAAGTGTGTCACTCTTTTCATTTGAACACTGGATTTGCAGGCAGCAACCCACCTAATCTAAGAAAGTGTGTGTATTTAAGTAAAGACTAAAGCAAATTATACTAGTTTAACTGAAGGTATGATTTTAACTAACTAACTTCATTAAACCTAGTACCAGCCACACTAGATATGTCCATCTTGGTTAAGGGTTTTGTTTAGTTCTTTTAAACTATAACTTACAAATACTCCTAATCCTTTTGAGCAGTTGGAAATTGCTGAGTATGCAGAATACCCACAGAAGGATCTGATCAACTAGGTCAGCCTGAATTAACATTATGTAAAAAGGCCTAATCAAATTTTGATCTCCCCCCCCCCCCCCCCCCCCCCGCTTTTACTTTCCCCTTTTTTTTTATTTAAGGAAAGCCAAGCCCTCAAGCTCAGACATAAAACAATGCTGGAATTTAGAATTCCACACTGAAGGTTTCAAATGTCAAGTGCTCTTTCTTCTGACTACAGTCACCAGTTTAATTCAAGAGCATTGTTGAAACTTAATTACACTCAAACACTGGGTAGTGCTCATTTTTATAATTAACTGGCTCTTTTTAGCTGAAAATATTCCAGGTAGTTTATTGAGAAGATTTACTTTCCTTTTAGTAAGTTGAAAGATACTTGGGTTTTGGATTCATTTAAAAACAAAGCAATAACCACAGGGTATAGTATATAGTAAACAAACCAAAACAAGTTATCTCTTGACTGACCCACCTAATTTATATCTTTTCATTACAAAAAGTCTCTCAGGAATAAATAAGATAGAATGAAGCTTCAAAAAGACTATAGGAGCTTTTTAAACTTTTGATTTTAAAAATTCTAGTTATAGTCAAGACTTTGAGGTGATATCCTTCTGCTTAATACAAGCTGGCTTGATTTTAAATTAGGAAATGCTGCAGGTCAGTTACTCCAAGGCCTGGCATATTGTATAGCTGAAGGCATCTCAACCTTCAGCACTGGGAAACGGTTCCTCTTGTAGTGTTACTGATGAGCAAAGAAGAGGCTAAGCATCCTTGTGCTGTTTCTTGAGGTTTTGGGTTTTAAAATATGCCACTTCTTGAATTTTCACCTATGTCTGCAAGGCACCAAGTCATTTGTAACTTTTGATTATCACACACCTGCCCTTGCAAGCATCTTAACAGCTCTAAATACTCAGCTTTCTCCTGGCAGCCTTTCGCATAACCAAATCCTGACACCATGAAACTTTCTGCAACTCTCATTCCTTAGATTTAACCAAGTTCTGAGATCAGATTATCTCTTTCTTATTTAGCTGTTACAAAATTTAGCCTGGTGAGTGTTTTTAAGAGACTGTAACTGTTTTCCCCTGGACCCAGGTATATTGCCAAAAAATTCCCCACAACCAGCATTACTCTTAAGTTGTTCATTCTTTCTCCTAAGTATTAAGCATTCTTTCGAGTCACTGTAGAGCTGCTCATACAAGTACTTCTTATCTCATTCAATCTAATTACTTGAGTTGGCATCCCTGGTACCTAACCCAGCTGATACTGACAGCTAGGTGAGGGAATGCTCATAAAAGCAGCCTGACAGTAACAACTGAAGGGACTGTTTATCGCAGCTATTTAGAGAGTGCATGTTCATTCTACATCTTTAATACTCCTGCCTTGTCTGACCTATCACAAGGATCATCCAAAACCAAATGTTTTTTCCCCATTTACATCTTCTTGACAATACTTAAAAAAACATTCAGAATATCCACCTAAGCTGAAGGACACCAAAAATCCTTGCTCAAAACTGGGCACAAGAAATACCTGAGATCTAACCATCCAAATGACAGGAGAAAACCTCCCACTTAGGGAATATGTGGTGCAAATTAATAACCTAATTTTTTCCATTCTCCAAAAAGCAAAGCAGGCTGACCTGGATCAGTATCTGTGGAGGGCCATGATAACTCCAAGCAGATACAGGAACTTTCCAGTAGCCCAGACTTGCCTCTCTTCTTAGTATTTGGTATGGGCTAGAATAAGTGGCAACCACTTAAATCTTCTGACTTCTCAAAATGCCATTCTTAAATACTTGATGCTTTCCAGGCAT